TGCAATTGTTCTTTTATAAATCTAGTAAAAAAGCAAGTAAATATGCACATAACATTTTTACAAATAGATTATATGAGTTGTACAACAGCTATTTTTAAAGGTTAGAACATTTTAATTGTGAAAGTTCTGACTAGGTCCCTAATGAAAAAAATGTACCACACAAGCTAGAGTGATCTTGTTAAAATTTAAGTCAGATGATGTAACTTCTCTGCTCATAACTCATCAATTACTCTCTGTATCACTGAGAGTAAAAGCCAGTGCAGCTGTTAGAATCCACCCTTCCCTCTTCATCTCTCCAACTCAACTGCCTTCTCACCCAGCAACACTGGTTTTCTTACTATGAACTGGAAACAGCCCACACTTCTGCCTCAGGACCATTGCACCTGCTGTTTCCTCTGTCTGAAATGCTTGTTCCCTCCATCTCCATGTAGCTTACTCTCTCACCTACTTTAAATATTTACTCAAATATAACCCTCTCTTTGAATCTCTTTTACTTTCCCCTGCATAACTCCAACTAGAAACTCCTTATCTTTACCCCTTGTTTTATTGTTTTCATGACACTTACCTTCTAACAGTGTCATTTATTCCTCACTCTATCATATAGAAAGTAAGTTCTAGGAGGACCAAAGTTTCATATATTTTGTTCAAAGGTGAATTTGGGGCATTTAGAACATGGTCAGGCAAAGAAGAAGTACTCACTAAACGGCTCTGAATGTTGAACAGTCAGTCAGTGTTTACATTCCGCTACTTTTTGTTTCAGTAAATTGTATCCCATAATGTATTTTTTAGTTCATTTTTTGAGCCACTTTGTCAGAATATTACCCAGTCCAGGGGATTCCAAGAGTCTGACCTGGTTTAGGACCCCTAATGGGAATCTGGTTAAGAGCTGATTTAATGTGCTCAAATAGATCTATTCCATTTCTGAAGAAAAGTCTAATCATATAATTGTTTGGAAAATCATTTGGCAATGTGACTCTTGAAAAAGTTTTTTTTTTTTTAAATTTTATTTTGTTTCTTGTGCTTAGATCACAGACTCTCATAAAGTAACTTAAGTGAGAGTATGCAAAAATAATGAGATAAGTGAGCTCAAGTCCAGTGGATTCTGTTCTTTGGTCCCCAGCTGGCAGGGTTAAAACCCAAGTAGAGGCCTTTGAGCTAACACACTTGAAACTGCAGAGAAACAGGAAGATTAGGGGTGGATGGCTGGGTTTTATATAAGGATGTGGGCTTCATGATGCTAACTCCAGACCTGCTTTTCTTTAATCCAGGGAAAAGGCTTATCAAGAAGTGCACTGAAATTCTCAAAGCAATATTAAAATTAATCCTTCTCAATTATACAAACAAACAAACAAACGAACAAACAAAAAACCCATGTACCATACAGAATTTATAAGAGACATGTATCTGAGCCTACTGGGTGAGAAAGAAGCAATTTTAGAAAAATAAAGCAATATAGACAATGCTACAATGGAAATCACTGAGTTTAATACATGATGATTTCCTAACAGATTATTATGGGCAAAGGTGGCATTAAATGTAGAGGAGCATGCCAGTTCTCATCAGATATTTTGGAGTCACTGTCAGAGAGTGACTTGCACTGTTTAGGAAATACTAAGTAAAAAACTGATTTTGCCCAAACAGGCATTTTGGATATACTGATATTCTTAGTTTGTCCAGCCCATGTGTGGAAATTCTCTCTGAATGCATACAACTTGTTGAAAGGTCAAATGGCAATTTTTAAAGAGCAATGCTATGATCAATTCCCCAGTATAAATCTGAGTCTGAAAATTACTGTATTTCTATTTTCGTTTCTTTTCTATTTATTTATTTTTCTCCGGACTATCTACTATTTAATCTGCCATCCTTTCTAAAAGGATAATTTATGCATCACTATAGTTATGGGCATACATTTTTGTTTCAACTTTTAAATTAGATTTTAGAGGCCATCAATAGTTCTTCTTTTTAGAGGAAGTGTCAGGCACAGGATGGTCATTACCTGTGTGAAAATTCAAAAAAGAAAATCAGTATTGTAAGGGAAGTTCATTTTGAATCAGAAAAAACTCCTGAATTACTGAGTGAAGAAATAGCTTCTGGTCTGTAATGAAAGGGATGTTGTTGGATTCCCCAGAGGCCTTAGAATCTCTTAATATAGTTATCATAGCTGGAATGTGACATATTAAGAAGGCCCAATATGTGGTGAACACTCAGATGTGTGAGTAAAATCTGCAAGCCCATACATAAATGTGCAGAGGGAAGCCTGTGCTTGCTATGAGGACAGAAACAAAGTGTGGGCACCCTCGTAATAACCAGACTCAAGGGTTTCTAGATAAAGGATCGAGATCATCTAAAAAATGTAAGTAAATCAAGAACATTTGCCAGGCTTGTAGTTTCTTGACCCAGACTAACTTAAGCAAGTATGACTTTTGCTTAAATGGCTCAATCCAAATGGAAATGTCTGGCTCTTCCTGTTCAGGTTTTACGTCTTTCTTCAACTATTGCAGTTTTGATCTAATTGGTGGAGTATGCTTGTATTTGTAAGGTATACTTCTGCCATACTAAACAAGGTCCACATGCTTCCCCATCTTGTCTTCTCACTCACTTTATCTTGATTTTCATGAAACAACGAAAATAATTCCTCTCTGAAGCCAACCTTTCCTAACCCCTCAGGCAATATTTACTACTTCCTTTCATAGGCTCCATAGTACTAATTGTTCTACTCTAGAATACCTTTATCATTTTTTTTTTTTTTGAGTCAGATATCTGGTAGGTTTTATTCTTTGTTTGCTGAAGACAACCTGGCACATAAAAGGTCTATAGAAAATCACATGTCTGACTGCCTAACTAAGTCAGTTAGTTCTAGGGCATACAAAATCCTGTTCTCCTGTTCTTACAGTAGGGGGAACAACTTGTAAATCGACAAATTCAATAAAATGTTAAACTCTGAGAGATGAAATTCATTAGTTACTCAAAAAAGTCACAGACCATGGGGGTGGTAGTCTCTCCCATATTCTTCCCAATGTAGATGATTCATCACTGTCAGTGAAAACAGACTTTATTCTCAGAATATTTT